GGGGTTCTCGGTGGACGCCGACCTAATATATCAGAGACAATTTCAGAAGATAGTAGTATCCAATGCAAATTACAAGCTTACATCAAAGATATAGATACTTACAGCTTCGATTTGCGGAATGATGTGGCAAAGGTGCGTCGCCTTGACCGTCCCTGCTCCGCGTGCTCGGCAGGCTCCACCGGGTCTTTTTCCACCTCCGATGACAAAGCGTCGGGGTTTGATGCCCGATGTTTCCCTCGCTTAGTACTGCGTATGTTGCGGTGGTGATGCGACGACCGCCGGCGCCTGAGGAGCCACCCCGCTCAAGACCCCATTTGTCTTCTCCTCTTTTGAGGGACGAGCCGAAAGATGTCGCATCCTCTCCGCGCCGCGTCGTCCGGCTGCGGGGAAGATAGCTTGGCGTCGTTCTTTGGCCACGACGCTTGCCGGCCGCTGCCGGGTGTGCATCCTCCACGATCTCGAAAGTGCCACCCAGTGGACATCGGCCGGTCTGGCGCGAATGGTCAGGCGGTGGGTCGGCGGCTTTGCGGCCAATCTACACCGGGGAGGCGACACGAACACATCTTGCCCGGTCCACGACCATTCCACTGCGACACAAAGCGGGGCAGCAGTCAATTTCTTGTTACAACATGACTCTACGATTAAAAGGAGGCATCAATTACCTTTGGGGAGGTCGGGCGGTTTGAAGGCGTGCTCGATGTCGTTCGACTGACGTAATTGGGATCGGCCCGAGTTGAATAGCTCCCCAATCTCGGCTTTGATTTCCGTCTTGTCGAGCGGCTCCTTCCCTGGTCCTTGTCGGATCGGCGCTTCCTTGGTACTCGAAGCCCGGATGAACCCTCTTTGGTAGGAAATTTGGATCCTTTGGTGATGAAGTTCCCGACCACACTTGGGCCATCTAGCTTTCCCTACGGGATCATCCCGAGCAGCGATTCGTGATCTGCGCCTGTGTTCTCGGCTTTTACGTCACTATTCTTCTTCTCCGAATCGGTCTCACGTCACATTGTGGTGATGGTGTTTGGCTCTTCACGGATGTAGAACCACTTCTTGTACCACTCATCCAGCGAGGTGTTCTAGGGGCAGTGCAAGTATTGTGCTTTCATGCCGTCGCGCAGATTCAGGTAGGCGCCTCTGGCTATCTTCGAGCCACCGCTCCCTTTCTTCGAAGACAGAACAGGTGGCGAAAGAGGTCGAAATAGGGCTGGAAGCCACCATAAGACTCGCAGAGATGAATGAAGGTGGAGATAAGGAGAATCAAATTGGGATGCAGATTGCAAATCCCAATCTCATAGTACAAGCAGAGACCTTGAAGGAAAGGGTGCACTGGAATCCGAAACCCCGTTTGAAGAGGTCTTGAAAACCACAATCTCACTGGTTGTGGATCGGGAAGCTTTCTCCTTCAACAAGACGCCATCCCCATGAAAGTGCCTTATTGTGGAGCACTCCCATGGCGGCGAGGTCCTCGATGGTTCGCTCATTGCTCGCGACTTCCACCATTCCTTCGCCATGACCCCGCCTTTCTTACAGGCGTCTCTCTTCGCCATTAGTCCGTCCTTACTAAGGGGTGGATGCGGTGGCAAGGGATTGGCGGCGATTTTCGGAGGAATAGGGTTTGGCGAGGAGGAAGAAGAGGGTTGCGGCGGCGAATGACAATGGGGAGCAGTGTGAGTAACTTACCGATCTACATTATATAAAACAAAGAGCTCCGTCGTTTCGTCCGCCCGAGATTATTGGGAGATGTGCGCACGCGCGCCGCAGACGATTGTTCACACAACCTCGAGATCTACACCAATAAACGCGCTCCTTCGTTACCGAAGGTACGCGCCTCTTCGTTAATAGTGTAAGAGGGCCCTGGCCGCGTGCCTCCACACAAAAAGCGTTTAATATTTGCGAGAAAAAAGAGTAAGAAGACGAGAATGACGTACTATACCCATTTGCTTTTTTGACCAGCGTGTCGATGGACTTGGCGAAGAATAGAGATAAATAAATACACCGAATAAATACATCAATGGCGTTCGCATTTTAGATGCCCGTTTCGCGCTAAGGATGGATCGGGGCGCCTGACCACTGCGTGTGCTCGGGATTGCCCGGACCAACTGGCGGTTTCGGGGCTCGCCTGACCACCGCTGCGTGCTCGGGATCGCCTGACCAACTGCTTGTGCTTGGGACTGCCGCAGACCAGCTGAAGTGCTCGGGGACTGCTCCGACCACTAACATGCTCGGGGACTACTACGACCATTATCGTGTTTCTGGAGATCGCGCCCGACAACTGGTGTGCTCGGAGGATATCCCGACCACTGATCGAAGAATTGTTCTCCTCGGCTACATGTGATTTGTACTCACATACAGTTGAGAGACATTTATTTAGACCTTACTATAAGGCTCATGCCGCCTTCCGGCAAGCTCGGGGACTACATCGGTACGATGCACCTGCCGGTGCATCTCGTATCGCCTGTACGACGATTGAGTTCTCAACTTAATTGGGAATTCTTTTTAGACCACGGCACCACGTGCTTACTTCACCTACTACCGGGCTCGGGGACTAAGTGGGCACACTTCACCTTACGGTGAATGTGTTTGTTTTTCACCACCTCGCCTCGATGATCAAAGATGCTACGCTTCAAGACACACTTACATTTCTTTTCGTAAATACAAGTGGGCACACTTCCCAGGACATAAATCTTTTCTTTTTTTTCTTAAGAGCACCATACATTCTTCGGACAACCTATTTCTCGACGCGACGGCGGTGGTCGGAAGATGTCAAGGACTCGGGCATAACTTGCCGGAGAAGGTCGAATGGCGTGTCGCACCATAATACATGGTGCTCGGGGACTAGCTGTGGGGGTATTAACCCCTATACCCTTCTGGCTAAGCTTGGGCGGCCGGATCGATGGGTCCGGTCCATCCGAAAGACGACAGCCACGCCCAAACCAACTGGTTGGAGTCTGCGCAAGGAGTTAAAGCGGATTTGGCGATCAAGCGAGATCTGGTCGGTTAGAATAGGAATCTTATCCGCCACATATGGCAATTATAATCAGCTAGGATTAGTTTCAGATCGTAACCCCGCCCCGGACTATATATAATGAGGCGGGGATCCTCTAAAAACATCTCTCATTAACATACAACAATACAATCGAGACGCAGGACGTAGGTATTACCTTCTTGGCGGCCGAACACGGATAAAACCTCGTATGGGTCTTGCGTCACCGTCTTGTTTGTAGCTTGCGCATCTGTCTACCGACAATCTACTACCTTGGGCATACCCCTAGGTAGACTGCCGACCATATTTCATCGACAGATACGTTTAATGAAATTTTAGATTTTACTGAATACATATTTATGTTTTATTATATTCTATATTTTATGGGATGCGTAGTAACAATTTAGTGGTTATCAATATTTTACTGTTATAAAGCTTATTGAACGATACTATTACTATATGTGGACATTCTTTTTTTTAAAAGAATTACATCAATACAACGTAGATGCCCACAACTCACGGATATGCGCACGCGCGCGTGTATATATATATATATATATATATATATATATATATATATATATATATATATATATATATATATATATATATATATATATATATATATATATATATATATATATATATATATAAAGCTCAACCATATGAACAAACACACATCCTACTCTATTATGAGCACTTCTGAAACTAAGCCGGAAGATTTTGAAATTCTCACCACATGTGTCATGCTATCAGGATTGCCTACTAAATCAAGAACATAATTATTAGATCGTTAGATACTAAAATAAATTCAGATAAATAGGAACAGTTGTATCAATAACTAACCAAATGGACATGTTCCACCATCGCGAATATCGTCTAGCTGCCCAAACTTCTCATCCCACCACTAACCCCTCCCCCCATTTGGACTCGGCCACGCCGCCACAGCCCGTGGACTAGCTGCGCCCCCATTCCAGGCCAAGCGGAAGATGGGCAGACCACCAAAGAGGAAGGATTACGCAGGGCGTCTTGTCCGCCACCTTGTCCCCGCAGTGCCTTCCTCCTCCAACTTTTCTGCTGCGCTGGCTGCTTCACCACAAGCCCACATATCTTTGTGTTGCACTCTCCACAGCCACTCCGACATTGTCTTCCATCTCTGGGCCTGCCTTCTCCAGCAACGATCTCTTGGTTGCTCGCCGTGGCGGGCACTTCATCGGTGAGCCCAACATGGGGACACAGAGGTTGCGAGAGAGAAGGGAGGGAAAGAGAAGAAGAGGTGGGACCCACCTATAAGTGGGAGAGAGACAGGAAAATAGGTTAGCCGTCATGTGCACAATTCCATATCAGCAAAAACCATATTGGAAAGCACTTTGTATCGGTTCGGGGTTCCTCCAATTTTGATAATTGAAGAGTGTATGGTACCCGATCTCCTACTCTAGAGTAGAAAATCAGATTGCTGTGCAAGTTGGAGCTTGAAAAATGCACTTTATCCGGTCAAATACGAAGACATGTCTTCTCGTGTATGTATAGTGTTACTATGTGCTGTGATTTTTTTTTTAATTCTTGTGGTGCAAGGGGACCCATCTAGCTTTGACAAGTTAAAGTTTCGCATAAGGCATCTACTTCTCCATCAGGAAGTAGAACTGCTGCCAAAGCTTAGAGTCATTGACACAGTTCAACGGCTCGGTGTTGCCTACCATTTCGACAATCAGATCAGTGCCATACTCAACTCCGTGTCAATGGAGAGACGAGACATCGATCGCATGGACGATGTTCGTCTCATGACCTTATCCTTTAATTAGATTGCTTAGGCAGAACAATTATCCCGTTTCTCCAGGTAACCAAATTCAGAAAACTCTTCATCCCATCGAAGTAATAGGACGCAAAGCATTGTTTTTACCTTCTGTAGCATTTGGCCTATCTGAAATACACACATAATTGCTAGAGTACCAACTGATTGCTAAGCAAATTTAACTGGCAAACAAAATCGCAACAGAAGTACTATTGCGAAGCCTGAAGGATGGAAGAGGTAACTTCAAGAAAACGCTTCAGAAAGATACAGAGGGTCTTCTATCCCTCTACGAGGCTTCACATCTTGCATTTGAAGGCGAATAGCTCCTGGATGAAGCAAGGGTGTTTTCTACAGAGGCTCTAAGAGAACTCAGGCCGTCCATGCATCCACATCTAAGGAGCTCTGTGGATAATGCTTGGGCCGTCCCACTGCACTGGGCGGCCCCACGGTTGCAAGCGAGATGGTTCATCAACCACTATGCAAGAGATAGTCACGAGCGGATTCGTCGTTGCTTCATTTTGCCAAGCTTGACTTCAACAATGTGCAGAAACTACAGCAGCAAGAACTTTCAAGGATAACACTGTAATCTAAGAAATAATAACTAGACTAGTCTCATGGTTGCATATATGATGTTGTTTCCATTTTGTAGCTGGTGGAGGAACGCCAATCTGAGTGAAAGTCTGCCATTTGCGAGGGATCGTCTGATGGAGTGCTTCTATTTTGCTACCGGTGTTGCTCCTGAACCTAGTCTCGAGGCATGTCGAGAAGTGGTCGCTAAAACTTTTGCTCTGATTGTGCTCTTAGATGATATCGACGATAGGCCTGTTCGTTTGAACTTATCAGCTAGAATCTATAGTATTTTTCTTCCGTAACAAAATAGTTTCAGCCGACTTATCTACGGGACCCTGGATGAGCTTGTGATGTTCACCGATGCCATTGAAAGGTAAGCTTTGAAATGCACCTACCTCAAGGCTGGAGCCGATAAAGTTGACTACAATAAATACATTTATCAATGGAAATTTCATGCAAGTTTAGAAATAGTATAAAAACTAGTAGTACTTTAAATTTGTTTCTGCCATATATATTATTATAGTACTAAAACCAATGTCATAATGTATTACTCCATTTGTTCCAAATTATAAGTCACTTTTAATAAAAAAAATTATAAGTCCATTTTATTTTTTTAGTTCATCTATTTTACTATATATATAGACATATTATTATACCTAGATGCATAGAAAAATATATGTAAAAAAAATCAAAACGACTTATAATTAAGAACGGAGGAGTACATTACAACATGAATAAGCAATGAATATTTCTCCACATATAGGAGGCATCCGCGAGCGAACAACTCCCTGCGTATATGAAAGCAATCTACCTCACTATCGTCAGCGCATCAAATGAGGTGGCTGAGCAAGTGCTTAGGCAACAAGGATGCGACGCGAGGTTTCTTCTTAAGAAAGCGGTAAGTACAAACCACAAGTAGACAAATACTACAATTAATTCTTTGGCTGACAAAATACAACAACAGTTTATGAATGACGAAGCTAACACGTACAACTACTTACTGTCTCAGTGGCATGACCTCTGCAAGGCATTCCTAATGGAAGCAAAGTGGCATTACAGCAATTACAAACCAACCCTCCATGAGTATTTGGAGAACGGGTGGATCTCTTCTGTCTCTGGGCCACTAATGTTAATTCATGTTTTCCCCATGATCGAGAAGAAGGGTGTTGTTACCCCAAACTCCATACAGCAACTTGAGAGTTATCCAAAATTGGTACAGATGGTGTCCAAAATATTCCGCCTCTGCAACGACTCCGCAACACATTCTGTAAGAACAACGTACGTTTATTCTTGCACTAAATTTGTTAGATCCAAACAAGCCCTTGTTGAGATTTATTTCCTGCATAAAATGTAGAAAGAGCTAAAGAGAGGAGATGCGTCATCTTCTATCAGCCTGTTTGGTTGGCCTGTGCTTGTCGTAAATGATCGTAAATAGGAAGCAACCGTACCAAAAAAGATTTACAAAGAACGAACAAGCAGAGAACAGTATAGATATAGCCATTTACATGTCAGAGAACAGAGCCACGGAGCATGACGCTCGCAAGGCCATGAGAGATCTGACCATGGAGACCTGCGTGTTCAGCTGGTATACTTTCAGCTTGTTTCAGCTTATTCTCTCTCACAGAATACTATTTAATCATCAAAAAATCCAAAAAAAATGGTCAACCAGGTGCGTTCAGTAACTAGGTGCGTTCAGTAACTGCCGATTCCCTCTTCCTTTCGCAAATGCCTGTGTGAATATGGCGCGCATCGCCCACTGCATCTACCGGGGTGGAGATGGTATTAGTGCACCAGACGATGAGAAACGGATGGAAATCAAGGAGCTGTTCTTGGAGCCATTCAAAGAGGAGAAATGAAGGTGCATGCAATGCAGCTTGCTTATTGCTAGTAACTCTCCAGGTCCACACAGTCCACCGAGACATTGTGGCGAAAATTAGAATGGTGTAAAAGTGCATTCCATGCATTTCAATAAATCACATGTATTTCAACAACCTTTATATATTTATATTCGTTTTTAAGCCTACGCCTGTGCAAGCATTGTTGTCTACCGAATCATTTCAATTTCTATAATTTAGTCTGGTTAAAGATAAATACTGCCCTACATTCGGTTAAACACGGAAATACGTCAACGCCAGTCGTCTGATAAACACTCGTCTTTTTTTTTTTTTTCGTCTGCTGCATCTCTATTGGGTCGGACCGTGAGAATGTGACATGAGGGAGCTTTTATCGAGCCTTTGATAGTATATGTTGGGCTGAGTCGTTGCTTTCATGTTTTGTACGCATTCGGCCCAAAGCTATCCGGCCTATCTGTCCATCTGACTTTTTATGGCTGCTGGCTGTATGGGTTTGCTACTTTTGTTCAATAGATAGAATAGAGAAAGCAAAGGAGGAAAAATGGGGATAAAGTAGAAAAATCATACGTCCACGCTCTTGGAACAGACTAGCACGATGCTAGGTTGGTCCAGTCCGTAACTGTAATCTTGTAGATCTCTTAGGACGCTCAGCCAGAAACGCGTTGTATTGAACTTTTTCTATCCTCGTACAAAGATGCATAATCTTTTGCGTAAAAAAAACATGGAGAACCTTCCTGCTGAAGCGAAAGATCACGTCAAATCCAAAACGCGGCTAGAAACGCGCATTAAAGCGTGCGTTCTTTTCACGGACCGTGCGGCTCGACTCGATGTGGAGGGAAACGGAAGAAGCGGCGGAGATCTCGTGTCCCGGGAGTTGAGGGCATATTAGACACTTGCGCGTGGTCAGTGATCCACCGAAATCTTGACACGACACACCACAACCGAACCCATCTGCGGGACACCATGATCCGGCGACCCCCCGGACGACAGTGACGCAGGACCTGCACAAAATCATGAGCCGTGTTAAGCCCACGCAAGCAAAGCCTCAACTTCGGTAGCGTACGGCGAAACTATGAGCGTGCTCCTAGTGTTGGCAAAATGGCAAACAAGTATGGTAAAAAAAATGGCAAACAAGTTCCATCCAGTTCGAGACGAAAAGGATGGGTGAAAATGAAATGGAAGGAACCGCCGGGACCCGGGAGGAAGGAAAAGTCGGTAAGCTCCATTGGCGAGACGCGGTTGCATAGAAGTAGTGGAGCAAACCGGCCAACGCGGAGCCCCAACCACCGTGCCTACCCCGTCCTCTCCTCCAGTCCTCCTGGACACCGGGACCTGAAGTCACTGCGATGACTCGAGTCCCCGCCCGAAATGGTCGTCTCCTTCGCCGGATTGCCCCCACCAACCGGAGGCCGGGTTTAGCATCGCTTGCTTTGTTTAGCTGCCATTATTGGGAGCGCCACCGCCGGTGGTGGCCACGTAATCCGGTGTCCGCTCGTTAACCACAAACGTCCAATTGTCAGCGCGCGCCGACCTGGCGTCGGCTGGCTGGCTGCGCGGCCTGCGGGGCCTCACTGGAGCAATCAAAATCTCTCGGCCCATACGCGCCGCGGACACACACGCCCCCCACACCCGCCCGCCCATCTCTCTCTCGGTTCCTGCGCCCGCAGCCCCGCACGTTTCCAGTTCGACCGAGCCAGAGAGCCCCGGGCAGTTTCCATTCGCTGCTGCCGTGCTGCACTCCTCCTCCTGCACAATCCCCTCCCCCGAATTCGAGCCGGAGGGCCGGAGTAGATCTGCGGCGGCGACCAGAGGATGGCCGTCAACTGGGAGCTGCAGGGCTGCTGCGACCACGACCAGAGGATCTTCATCGCCGCCGTCGGCGTCTCCACCGTCGTCATCCTCCTCGTGAGTACCACATCCCCGACGCCTTCTCATTTGCTCTCGGTCTCTCTCTCTGGTTGTATGATTCTCCTCGCCGCGCCGATAGGGGGCTTCCTGACTCACCCGCTGCGATGTGTGGTGCTTTTTGCAGCTCTGGAGGACGTTCCTGCTCACGCCGTTCAAGCTCATCACCGTCTTCCTCCACGAGACCAGCCACGCGCTCGCCTGCAAGCTCACCTGCGGCGATGTAAGCCATAAACCCTTACTCGTTCCAGCACTCGCTTTAGGAAGGGGAAGAGAAAAAAATCCGCTGCGCTGCGACCTGCGATGGTGACGCATTGAGATTGGGGTACCGGCGAGCGAGGTCGGATTTTAGTCTCTAAATGGGGGCGGATAGGTTTCGCCCATCATTTTGTGCTGGTGGGTGGGAAAAGTAGGCGCCGTATGAGTGGGGATCATGGATTCCAATATCCCATAGTGCGGGTGCGCTTTTTATGCCTTTGCTGCTATTCACGGGAGCAGAATATACCGTGCATCTTTGCAATTCTTCTGCATAAAGGGATTTTTATTTCATTTCATCAAGGACTGCTGGACTGGAGTCCTGGATTAGTTGCTGTCTCCTATCGGCAAGTATCCCTTGATTCTTGCTGCAGTTGTACTGTTCTTCAGCGTTCAAGTCAGGGATTCTGGTCAATGAATGTCAACTGTCTGCAACAATGTGCACTCCTTGGCATTCTGGGATACTCCTCCACCCACCTGGTAAAGCAAACCAGCAATGGCTCTTTGTTAGGGTACCTTAGAAGATCGTGCTGTCTGTACACTGTGCAGTGTAAAGGGGAAGTAACACATGCTTTTGGAGTCCGCAATTACATCGACAACCACATGATCAAGGGTGAAACCGTTGGAGGTGAATCACCATTGGTTTATAATAAAGGAGTAGCAAACACTTGCTTGTGGTATGTTTATTGCAGAGTGCATGGGTGGCGCGAAATTCTTTGCTTTTGTTTCTTTCCTTTTCTCCCCATGTTAATCAGTTGCTCAGATAGGTAGTGCAGTTAATTATTAGCTAGCCTTGATTGCATCTTTAGTTTAAACTTTGGTTTTAAATAAATTCGTCGAAAACTGTAGTTTTTCGATGTGCATGGAGTTGGATATTTGTTACTTTTCCCCATGCCAAACAAATTGACTGTTGGATAGCCCTGATTCTGAATGTACCTGAGGGCAACCCTGTGCGATGAAATGTTTCAGACATTTCAAAACATCTTCTGATATGCTTATCTGCAGTGGCGGATCCAGGCATTAGCTGTGGGGCCACTTGGCCCTAGAGCTTTGGCCAAAATACATTAAACCTCTCTATAAATTTTGCAATTATATATGTTGATGATGCTAATTAGCTTAAAATCATCAAGACTTGGTCCCCCCTGGTTTTTAATCCTAGATCCGCCACTGCTTATCTGGGTCTATGCTTTTTGTCGTACAATTTATTGGTCTGTCTTTAAAAATCAGTGTTTTGATTTTGACCGGATTTTGCCTTTTGATTCATGTGGAGTTTGGCATTTGGTGCATTGCTTAGACATAATATTTTGTCCAGCTTCTGCCAACTTACCATATCAAGACATATATCTACTCAGTGTTGATGCCAGATAAGATATCGCCTCAAATATTCATTAGACATATTACTGATTTCAATTTGATTGGCTTCTTCAGGTAGAAGGCATGCAGGTCCATGCGAATGAGGGTGGCGTTACTCAAACTCGGGGTGGCATATATTGGATAATCTTGCCCGCTGGATGTATATCACTTGTCCCTCCCATATCCTTCTTTCTTATATGATTTGTCAGAAGAATGCGAATAAAAACACAATATCTTATTTTCTATTACTCAGCGAGTCAGCCTCCTATTTTTGTGTTCTCTCTGATATTTTAATGCATGGGATCTAAACTGTTGATTCTATAAACATTTTAAACCTAATTGCCAAGAAGTAAATTTATGATGAATTTATTCATGGGATTCATCTGTTTGTGTAACCTTGCCTAGTTCTTTTTAAGTAACCTTACATTCTTTTAACATCTAACAACCATAACAAACCATCTCTATGGACTAGATTTGTTGTTCTAATCCCTCTAAATTTTATGTTCCCCTGTTCAAGCAATTTGCGTTTGGTCCTTTTCTTGATGCTAATGTTTTGTTTTGAATTGCAGATCTGGGTTCATCATTTTGGGGAATGGTCTTCATACTTGCATCCACAAATCTCCTAGCAACAAGAATTGCAGCGGGTTGTTTCATACTTGCATTGTTTATTGTTCTTTTTGTTGCAGATAATGTAAGTTAACTATTTATTTATTTATTTTGCAACTTATGACTTCATTTGTCTTTTCCACTTGCGCATACAGTAATAATGATCATTTAGCTAAGCGTTATTATCTCTTGTTTGAATTGTGCAGTGGTTTCTTCGCTGGCTCTGCCTTGGTATGCATCAACATGACTTGGTCTCCATTTAAGATCTTACTCTGCAGCATGCCACTTACGATGTTGTTATCCAGGATTCATTGTGTTCATTGCTGTTGTTTGGGTCATACAAGAATTTACATCTTTCCATATTCTGAAATATGTGATCTTATTCATAGGTGAGACTGAAGACATCCTACAATCATGTTCTCTTTATTTTAATTTCTGGAATGCAAATTATATGGTTGAAAATTAATGTTTAGGTTTACTTATGTGCAACAGGTGTGATGAACAGCTTATTTTCAGTTTATGGTAAGAAGCAAAAAGCCTTTTCCTTGTTATTCCATGCTAGAATAATCCATGAGTTACTATCTTCTGAATCAAATGTTCTCAAATGATATAGATATTTATGATGACTTGATATCCCGAAGAGTTAATACAAGTGATGCTGAGAAGTTTGCTGAAATCTGCCCTTGCCCTTGCAATGGTTTTGCATGGGGTGTTATATGGTCTGCTCCCAATTTCAATAGTTATATTTTTTCAGTACCTTGATTTGTATTAAGATAATCCTGATGGTAAAGGCACCATGCTAATATTTGCTGTTCTTTCAGGGGATTCATCTCGTTTATCTTTCTCTGCGCTTCAATATACCTTGGACTGGTCATATTGTCTTGAGGTGATTCCTATGTTTTCATATTACCACACTTTATTCTCCTTTTGACATGCTCATTCACTATTGCACTGCAACACAGAACACAATCACACAGGTGCTATTAACTTAGTTGTTAGGAAGATATGTCCCAGAACTAAACATAGCATCACAAGATTTACCGGACGGTAGGAAACTAAGGAATGTCTGCCTTGTGCATCGTAAATTGTGAAACAGTACTTCCCTCATTGGTAAAAAAGACAAGTGTCTAGGGAAATGGGGCAGAAGACTAGTTTCAGTCACACAATCCTAATTTCAATGGCCTTCGGTCTGAAGACTGATATGATCATCAGATCATGTACTGCTATCTTTCTAACAAATAAATTTGTTGATCAAATGACAGTGCGTTGCAGCCCTACCTTTTTCCACATATAAGCTCATACTTACTCTGATTGGCTTTTTCAGGATTCCAACCTCGCGCATGCCATTTTGATCTGACAGCCAACTCTGATCGGCTTTTGCAGAGTTTTCCTTGCTCTAGATTTTGGTTCAAACTTACATTGTTCTGGTGGTTGTACAGTAGACATGTAGGTTAAACATGTATATCCATTGGAGTTAAATTGGTGGGGATTATTCATGTGATTCTTCGATTTTAGTGGTTCTATAGATACCATTTTACTTACCAGTTGTATTTATGGTCAGTAGCCTCTTCTATTTATGTACCTGTATATCATATTACCTTGCCTTATTGCTCATTTAACCAATTCAAAACATATTCAGGAATGCAACATTGTGCATTTTATCTGGCAACGTTTTGCCATAATGATTGACGGGCTGATTTGCTACCACTAGCAGGAGCTAGTGCCCACTGCAGTTTAGTTTATCCTGGTACTTTGAGGCCCTCTAATCCGCTCTTTTTGACGGATGGAACTGTCTCGTGTTAACTAACTCTGGATCTTGTCGCCATGTCGGTTCGACGCAAAATATTGGTAGTTGGGCTGCTGTTGCAAATTGCTGCACTACCAAAAAAAACCCATATACATAACGGTTTACTTTGGTCATAGACAAGTGAAAATGTGTCATAGTTAACTCACGATGACGATTCAGAAAAACATCATGTATCCCGCGTCATACATTTGTTGGACCGAAATGGACCGTCATAGGTTGGTTTTTTGATCGTCATGGATGAACTGGTCAGCAACAATAAGAAGAGGCTATAGTGATGAAATGAACTGTCATGATTATATTGCCATGTTAGCTGTTGCCATGTCATTTGGTGATTTGGATTTGACGTGGCGGCTACCTAGCCACGTCATCAGTAGGATGTCTGTGGCCATTTTCATCAATTAGGCCCATGTTTTGTGTAGTTTTTTAGTTTTAGTTAGGCCCACATTGTAGCATGTACTATTGGGCTAGCCCAGTTGCACAGTAGAATTGACCCATTGTGGACCATAACATATCAGCAGACATTCAAATTTAAATTGCACCAAATTCAAATTCAAATCGACACCAAATGCAAATTTATGGCCTGTTCGCTTGAACTTATCAGCTAGAATCTATAGTATTTTTCTCTCACAACAAAACAACTTCAGTCGACTTATCAGCCGACTTTAATACCAGCCGAAGAGGCCCTTAAATTGACAACACATTCAAATTTAAATTCACACCATTCAGGTCGTCAGATCATCACAAATACATATAAATATGCCATCACATATAAATAGAGCCATCATCACAGATACATCTAAATATCCAACATAGCTATCAGTTACATATAAAGCTTGGCACACCACATGCATGCATCAGACCTTTCATCAGTTCACAGAACTGCACAGGTCAAAGACCATGCATCAGTTCAAACAAAAGACCATGCATCCACCTGTTTCCAGACCAACATTGCAGGAAGACAACTTGACAAAATGCATCCATAACAAAAAAAAAAGCATCCAACAGCATCGGTGTGTCAGCCGGTAATCCAAGACAACTTCTTTGTGTTGCTTGACATCCTGAAATCATGGACATCAAAGTCCTGATCAGTGCATCTGTGTCACCTTGCCTTTTCTTACTGTGTTGCTTGACAACCTTACTATGTATTTCTAACACAGATAAAAGGCAGTAAACAAACTAAATTTATAGCATGTTCTAGTGAAAGTGGCATAGCTAATTTTACAGCCCCAAGTTTAGTATGTTATGACATAATTTTAAAAACCAAGCAACCAGCAGTGGATTTTTGTCAACTATTACTAATCTATGTGGCATAGCTACATACAAAGCTCTCCTAGATATGCAGAGAAGAAAAGACCTGACAAACAAATGACAAGACTTAGTATTCAACTCAAAGTTAGTTCATATACAGTATTTTGCAATTGAAGCTCAAACACCATGTTCTAGTAAAAAGTGTCAGTGAGTTGTACTCATCAAATTTACAATCTGCATTTCATAGTCATGAGACCCAAAGTGGTCCGATGGAACACTTTGCTTCATTCTCTCTCGTTCTTCTCACACAAGTCACCCACAGAACACAGTTACATTGTTAGCACATATAACATCAACATGATGAGATGTGGAACAGTTAGATGAACTTACCATTTTTGCTCATTTTTCCAAGTGTTCCACAAGTTTATCCCATTGCTCATCGGTCATTGAGGTCACAATGCAAGATAGAATTAGTAATAGTACTTTGGAATCTTTGTTTCTAGAATTTGAGTTTAATTTGTTTAGGAAATGTAGTGATTAACCTTCCTCTGTAACCTGATTGCAGATTTCAGCTTGATTAATCACTGCATTAACATCAGCTGGACAATTCTTCTTGGACCTTGTGAGAACACCAGATTGCATCCCAGGTTGCGCCTTCTGAGCACCTCTCTTGGTAACCTTTTTTGTTGTCTTCTTCTACAAACAACCAATCAAACAACGCCTCATCTTTTGAAGTTCGTAGTCAGTAAGCGGAGCTTCTACATTCACACGGAACAAAGAGAAAAGTAGTCTGGGCGAATATAACAATAGAGAACAAGTTCACATAAGCCTGGATGAATATAAGCCAAATTGACAGCTCTCTTAGAAGGAGATATTAAGAATTGACATGTGCACTACTTTGTCAGAAAAGTATTACTCAGGAAGTGCACACTATAATTACAAAACATATAGAAGGAATAGCCAATGTGTAAACATGTGTGAAGTCATTTCATCTTATCAGTCAGGGTTATTGATTATATAACTAAGCTAATTTTCTATTACTATGGAACAGTAATTTGACAAGGACAGCCATGGACAAGTGCAAAACATCATATGCCAGCTTTTCTTTTAATAGGGCAGCCATGTGTAACTATTCAGCTAATTAGGGCCATGCCACAATAATATCAACAGATCTGGCAATACAAATTATAAAAATTGAATTAAATTACTGAGCACAATTATATTATACATGCGAATATGAAACTAAAATAACCATTCACTAGGAACACTCATTTTAACAAACACAGCACCACCCCACCAAGCCTGAACCCACCATGGCCTTGCCGAGATTATATTAGACAAAGGAAAAACGAAGAGACAAACTCACTACTCCAAGCAACTTCAGCACGAACAGGTTGAAAGCGCTAGGCAAGTAACAGGTTGAAAGCACTAAGCACTCACTTTCTGAACCCAGAAACAGAGAAATCTTAAACCTTGCACTAATGAACCACCACTCACATAGGGTGCGTAGGAGCTAATCTAGGCGACTAGATATTGTCTAAGCAAAAGCAAGAGATCACCCAAAATACAAGATGCAGGAGAGACACTTCACCTTGAAACTGGTTTTCCGGCCGTGGCCTCTTCGCTGGCTTTCTGACCCTCTTCTTTGGCGACATAGGACCCTTTGCAGGTAATCCCCTTGAAGAGGCCGAGGTGGCTGCGGGATGGCGGAGCGGCGGTGGAGGATTTGGGGGATTTGGGGCGGTGGCTGCGGGACGGCGGAGCGGCGGCATAGGCTGGGAGATGTCGGAGGATTTGGGGGATTTGGAGCGGACGGCGTAGGCTGCGGGACGGCGGAGTGGGCGGCGTAGGCTGCGGCGGAGCAGGCGGCGTAGGGTTTTGGGCGGCGTTGGCTAGGAGATTTGGGATTTGGGGGCGGCATTGCCTGCGAGACGGCGGAGCCCGATTATATATGGCGCTGCATACTACAAAAATATCCTCATCGTTTTCTTTGCCGGATGCAGTGCTGTCCTAGCGGGCGGGGCAGAATGGTAAATTCTGCTGCCAAATCGTGGAGTGGGGAAGGCCGCTGGCAGCGAAAATTTTAGGGTGCGCGCCTACACTGTTTAGAATTCCCACTGAAACATTCAGGGTGCTTTCTTTTTCTTGAAATGGTCCTTATATTTTTTTTAGCTATCAAGATATTAAAATAGTGCCCGGTAATAACCAAATTTTGATTACTATATACTTGCTTGGTATTAATTGTCTATATTTGGTCAATTAAATTGTTTAGGCTCGGTAATCTATATAAATCACTAATGGCACATATTAAGCCCAATAATCTATATAACTTTGAGACTTTCATGTGTATTTGTACAAAGGCCACATTTTACTTCGTGGTAGGTATCAAATAACCTATATTAATCCTTGATGATTTGAGAAGTGACTGACTCGGACGTAAATTGCTTAGGGTGTTATTTGGTGGTGATTATATATATAGTAAGTACCAAATAACTTCTACTAATCCCTAGAGGTTCTCTACCTACCTAGATCAATCAACTCCATCGTGTTGTG